AGCAAACAACCAAGCTCAGAGAGCACCAAAGACTCCACAGTTCAACCCTGAGCTACAGATATTCTCTTCTATTGGAGTAATGGTATCAGTATTGAACATCACCAAGACCAAGGCTCTAGTAACTCAGCAGCACCTGAAAGACTCTGAATCAGCTTAGTCATGATCTCATTGGGCAGCAGAACAGCTGGTATAGTAACAGAATCCCTATCTTTATTCTAGCCATTCAGAACACGAAATCCTTGGAGACTGTGGCAGCTACCCCTTCTAGATCTGCACTACAAACACTTATCTGGCCAACATTAGGTAAGCCCACACAAGGTTTCTTGTCTCATCCTGCCTAGTCTCCATGATGTATTAACCGTCTGATCAGAAGATAAGAAATTAGTTCAAACAAGCAAACAAACAAACAAGACACAGCTGGTATTCAACAGGAGCAATATCAAAACCTGTCGTTTCTTGATCTGATTCCCTGGATTATATCAGTCAGGTGGGATGCCCCATTATTTGAATAGGGACATCATTGGAAGAGGCTGGGCAACCTTCTAGACCTTCATGGCTACACCCCACACTAATGACCCCCAGAAAAGAAAATCACTAAGGCTATGGGTTATAGAGCAAGAGGTGCAAACGATTAAATGGGAGAACAGTCCCACTGGGGAAAAGGTAAAAAGAGGGAGGAAGGAGAGGGCATTGAGAAAGGGGCAAACTCTATCCAAGGTCCTGAAAACAATATGAAGTTGCAACCAAAGCAAAAGTTTTAGCACAATTCCTCCCGCCACTCAAAAACCCAATTTATTCCAATTGCCACTTCCTCCTGCTTTCTTTCTTTCTTTTTTTGTGTTCCCACAGCCTTTCCAAGGAACACCTAGGTCCCCCTTCCTTTGGGGAGCTCCCCTACATGCCAAGCCATTGGGCAGTTGAATTGTCTCTCTCCTTTGTTCTGCTGCTGCTGCTGTCCTACCTGCTGGGCCAAGTGAATGCAGAAAGCAACAGGGCCTTATTGTTGCTGGGAAGTGTGACCAAGGAGTGCCCTGACCACTTTCCTGCTTCCAATTACTTCCATGCCAGCTGCTATAAGACCCTGACAGTGGTGTTGCTGGGCTGAGGCTGGAACCGGGTGGCTAATGCTATGATGTCAGAACCTCTAAGAAGTTCTCCTTCTCCTCTCTTGCTTTTCTACTGTTGGTGCTAGCAGATGACAAAGCCCTGCCTCCTTGAAACTGTGCTCACACAAACACAACTCTTTTACGCAAACACACAAACACGTTTTCCTAGTTATATGTTATGACTGCTTCTCATAAAGGGAAGAAATCCTTCCTTAACAATATAATAATAATATAATATATCAGGGAAAGGACTTGAATTCTTCTCTCAACATGTTGGTTTTCAGGAATAATAATATATCAGGGAAGGACTTGAATTCTTCTCTCAACATGTTGGTTTTCAATGTGCAGAGAGTTTTGAAAATAAGATATGCTGTTCTCTGCAGCATTGATAGAATGATCTTAACAGTGCTGAGTTCTGAGACTGTAATGTAATTGCAAATTAATTTGCAGAGAAGGGTAGCATTTGGGGGGGGGGATTTCAAAGTCCACTGCCAATGTTTGAACAAAGATTCCTCCTCAGATAGGTTGAAGTAACAATCTACAGCAAAGGGGAAAAACAGGGCTCCTGAGGAAAATCTGTTTTTCATATATTCAATATCCACTTTGCAAGGGTTGAAAAAAGCAGTTTGTGTTATGTGTGTTTGTGCGTATATTTGCACATATTAAATAAGGCCATCTCCTCTCCCCTTCTTTAGCCCATGAGAGGAGAAATTGTATTTATATCAAGGCCTCAGAGGCATATATAATTTATTAGGGTTTATTCATTTTTGTAAACAAAATCCCTGTCATGAATTTTTGATGGGAAGGGAGACAATAGTTTTGAGAGGTGGAATAACAGGGGAGTGAGTGGTAAGTTTTCCATTCTGTCACTGAAATCCTGAAAGTGGGGTGGGGCTGTGGATCAGCTAGATCACAACGGATTGGGAACATATTAAAAAAAATCCTAAGATCTTAAGCTGGCTTTCAAAGTTGGAAGGCTGATGTGTGTGAGTGGGAGGCTAGAAACCTGCTGTGTGTTGATTTATTTCTGGAGTGTAGTAAAACCCCTTAGAGACATCAGATATAACAAGGTAAATAACAACACATCAAATCTCCCCTCTTGCCAATTGTGTGTGTGCCAGCTGCAGATGTCTAGGGTTAGGGAACAAAGTACGCAGCATTAAATATACACAAACTTCCATCCAGGTGGAGGGAGGCCGGGAGGAGTTCTAAAATTTGGGCCATCAAATAAATAAATAAATAAATAAACAAATACATATTCCTTTGAAATAATGACAGAGAGAGAATTAGCAGCTCTTTGAATCCTTCCAAGTCACACTTAAGGAGTGGAATGATCAGTATTGTCCCTTGGGTGGCTGTGGGCTCCAGTAGCAAAGGATGTTCTTTCTCACCAAGTCCCAGAAAGGTATACAGCGTAAGGGTTTGGATACTGAAGCTGGGGGTGCTAATATTTTTACCCCTCTCTATATTTTTATAGGTCTGTCACTTGAGAAGTAATTAAAGTCAGGAAAGAAACAAGAACCAAATGTTACTTGCAGCCTCTGTTGGTAGCAGTACTTGGAGCAATACTACAAGGGCTGGTGGTTAGACTGGAAAGTAAATCTCAGAAGGTGACAATGGCAGACCACTTCCATATTTTTATATGGATCCAGCCAAGAATTGAGAAGAGAGCAGGGAGAATTAGGGTTGAGGGCAAGGTACATGATGTTTGATGCCAGAGTGCCATGCAGTCCCAAGCTTTGGTGGCAGACCCCAGAGCCCCTTAACATATCTTTGTAGCTTTGAAGGTATCAGAAGAGGATCAGTCAATACATGGAAAACAATCCATTTACTAAATATTTAATTAGCTTCTTTTAATTTAAATTAACTTAAAGTTAGTTTTTGGCCTAGACCTGCCAACTTTGGGAGCACCCTGCACAAAACTCCACTCAAAGTCCATATGTATTCCTTGACCCAGAAAAAGCTGCATCCTGCTGATTGTCAGCTAAGGCTTGGAGCAGAAAATATGTCAGTGGTTGAGTCATTGAATTAGCCACAATAGCTGGATTCATATACGACACCATGAAAAAGCAAGCAAACTGCATTATGACTCTAACAGCATAAAGGAGGGATGGGGAATTCCTAGACCACCATATTCAGCCTCCAGGTTCCATTACCCTAATTAGCATGTGCAGTCATCTGGGATTATGGGAGTTATAGTCCAAAAATATCTGGAGAGCCCCAAGTTCCCCACTCATGGCATTAGAAAAATATGCGAGAGGTCTAGATTCACTTTAGATGTTTCTATATGGCCAGCTTGCCTTTGTATAATTACTCCACTGGAACTCATATATTTTATTTCATGCTACCTCACTGATTCTACACACTTTGTTCCACACAATTAACCGCATCTATATTTTGGGCACATGTGACAAATGCACACATCCTTTTTGTTTACACTTTTTGAGAATGTTGCTTTCATTATTGTTAAACATACTGTGAAGGAAACTCTATTAATTTTCTTAAAATAATTGCTTGTTGCATAATCTTGAATTTAGAAAAAGTCAAGGTTAGGTTTTAGTCTTAAGAGTTCTTTCATGCGGCTTTTTTCGTACCAGTCACTCACCCTTTCGTTCAATCTGCTTTCATTCATCACCCATTCATTCTTGGCCCCATTTCCTTTTGTTGTAAAGTCTTAGATACCCCATTCCCATTATATTCAACATGTGTTTTTCCTGACACACCCAGCTCTCACTTCCATATAATAAAATGGGCAGAAGCGCATTCATATACCAGCTAATTTTCCCTTCCACGATACACTAAAGATATTGTGTTGCCGTAAAGTTTGTGATCTGGTAAACAAACAAACAAATACGAATGGTTGCTTTTTACATGCCATCTACCCATAATAACATTTATATGTATAGTCAAATTGTCAAAATCATGTGTGAAAACGTCTCTGTAATGTTCCCACCAAGAAAAATCTGGGAAAGGAAAAGTATAAACAAGAAGTAGAACAATCCTGCTTCGGGATTCTTTTTAAACGTGAAAATATGAAATATGATGTTATAAAGCAATAATAAAAATCCTTGTAGTTTCCTACAACGCATTCAGTGCTCCCAGAAAAAGTGACTAACTGTGCTACTAATTATAAGACATTGTGGAGCAATTCCACCTTTGCTTCCTTAAAAAAAAATTTTTTAAAAAAATGAGCAAGCAGAGACAAAACATGTCAAAAACGAAAGAAAAAAATGCAAAAGAATGTTTTTATGTAGAGCTATTTAAAAGTAATAACCAGGGAAGGAATATTATGCGTGTGATGTATAACTAGGTTTATATTCCACCTTTTGCTCCTATTACTTGAAAAAAGAATTAGGGTTTTAAAGACCTTTTGACTTCCCTGTGAGTGGGGCTCCTTCCTTTGAAAAGAAAAATAGTGAAGACAATGAAGAACCCCCCAGCACAGGCAGGATGGAGGTACAAAGGGCTTGACAGCTTAACTGGATGTGTGTGGAGAATTGGGGAGGATGTAAATCTAGGTGGGGAGGGTTGCCTGGCTGTTCAGATAGGTGAAATGCCACTGCTGTTTTCTGTATGGGGCACCTGTACATCCTTCTCCTCAACAACTGTGTCTTTTCTCTCCCCCCTCGCATCCTCCCACCATAGAACTACGCCAGAAAGAAGGAAGAACCACCTGTTAAACTTTATGTCTGCAGCAAGCCATGGAAGCGGCCCAGGCAGGGGAAGGAAAGGTGGCTTTGTGGGGTGGGGGGTGGGGGGGAGGACAGGAGAGCTTAAGAACAGGACTGAGGATCTGGGGACTGGGGCCGGGGAGTGGGATTCAGGGGCCCTGCTAGCCACAGGAAGGGGACTCCAGGGCTGGGTGGGGAAGATGGGGAGAGAGAAAGGACTCACTGTTGGAAACCCCTTGAGTCGTCGTATTTGAAGGGACATGTTCCTAGCCGGGGCGCCCTTCCTTCTAGGGCTGCGCTGTGGGCTTTGGTGGTTCCCCTCGGCTCGACGGCTCGGCTCCGA